CGTTTTCAATTGCTAATACTCTACCTGCCTCGTCACCTCTGCATGCTATATCTCACCAGGAGCACGAGTCTGTCGTGTATCCTTCTGTGTTTCCTATTTTGCAAGATCTGCCTCCCATACCTTCGCCGCCACTCCTGTCCACTCTGTCACCAAAAGAGCAGATCAAGGAGGAGTGGCGGCCGAAACCGCGGGCAGCTAAGCCTGCTTGAAAGAAAGCCGGAGACCACTATGAGCTGGTCCCGCCCCCACCTTGGCCATCCGAGTATTCACTCGCTTTCATCTTGTCAGATGGCCAAGTCGAGTTGGCGAATGCTGGTGGCCACATTCGTCGCGTGCATGGCCACCATTTGAAGCTGTACCTCAAGAGCGATGTGGATCCGCTCTTGAAGGCACCTGATCCTACACTTCTCTGAGCATCCATACTGGCGTCCAGCTAAAAGATGGTAAAGAAGCGCTTGTGGGGAGGCAACCCCACCATGATTTGCATTTCTATCCTTTGTTTTTATTTATTCATTTCATTTTTTGTCAGTTTTTGAGTCTTTGAGTCTGTCTGGAGTCTGTCTGGAAATTATTTCGTGCCTCGGGCGGTTCTTTTTAATGTGTGATTGGGTAAATTTTAGAGCCGGGGCACGAATGAGTCTTGGTGGTTTGAAATTGGAATTTTGAAAGAAAAGCGAATTGGGCTCGGTAGTAAAAACACGGGCAGCAGGGGTTCAGAACACGACCGTGTTCTGGCCCCTGTCCGCCCGTGTTTAAAAAATTGACTTGCACTGCTCTCGGCAGTAAAAGCACGGGCAGCAGGGGGTTAAAACACGACTGTGTTTTACCCCCAGCCCGCCCGTGTTTTAAAAGGGGGAAAAACTGCTCTCGGCAGTTAAAACACGGGCGGGGAACAAGCAGAACACGGCCGTGTTCCACCCCGCCCGTGTTTTAACCCCCCCTATACAAATCGATTTTCTGCCCCTCTCTCCCCCAGATTCATTTTTTTTCAACTTCCCACCTTCCGGCGATGGTGGCGATGCATTCTAGTGGCGAGTGGCTGGCTCTGTGCCTCATTTGTTTTCCAGACTGAGACTCCATGTTCTTGTTGTTTGGTTTTGGTTTTATTTTGGATTGTAGACTTGGAACTCCGGTTCTTTCACCCAGTGTGTGTCTTTTGTTGACTTTTGCTCTGTGCCTCAGACTAGTTCCCCTTCCAGTCCCCTGCTATTGACTGGTCTGCCTCCCAGTCTCCGTTCCTGATCTCATTTCACGGTAACATCGTTCCCCTTCCCTCTGCTCCATTGAGGACATTGTCGCATTTAAGTGTGGGGGGGTTCTTTGTATTAATTGGAACGTGTGTATGAGTGCTTGGAGCCTAGTCCGCTGTCCAAATCTCGAGATTTGAGGGCTCCAAACACTGTTGTTTGCTTGATGTTTGATCGTATTGGCACAGTGGATGTGATTAGTGAATTGAATGGCTTTTGACTTGATGCATGACAACTTGAGTGTGACTAAGACAGCCTATTATGATGACTGAGATGTGTGGTAGAGTTGTGTAGGGGTTCAGTTTTCAACTGTTTGCTTACCAACTGTGACTTGGATTTGATCACTTGCTTTTGACTGTCATTTATGCATCTAGTTCAGGGAATCAGAATGTGAGATAGAGCATATAGGTAGCCATTTGAGATTTGAGCCTGCTTGTTTCTTTCTTGTGCAATAGATCCCTCTTCCATGATGTGTAGCATTCACGTTGTCACTAGCTAAGATGATGGAGGCATAGGATTAAACCACAACCAAATTGACTGTCCTGATGTGTCATATCCCCTAGTCAGCCCCTTTGAGCCGTGTGTTATTCTTTCTTTCGGTCTACAGTGAAAAATCACCCTTTTGCATCTTTTAGAAGGTTCCACAGAGTGGTTTGTACATGTTTTCTGCTGTTCCTGCTAAATGTAATGTGAGGGTTGGAGGTAGTGCTTAAAAGTTGGGCATGTGTTTGAGAAATGCAGAGGTGGTGGTCCTCTTAAGGAATGAAAAAATTAAATAAAGAAAATCAAAGAAAAAAATAAAAGCAAAAGAGAGCCACCACCGAAAATCTGATTTGTGCCCATTAAGTAGTGTTTCTTAGCAGTCTGGCTTGGAAATGCTAACATTTATATAACCTCCTTCGCTCTCGTGCCCTAAAGAATGTGAGTAATGCAGAATAGCAGAAAGAAAGTTACTGGTTTGCTTGGCTGTGATTTTGTTGGGTTTGGAAATGTGGAACCTTGTGCTATTACTTCCACCACCTAAAAGGCTTTTTCCCGATGTCCAAGACCCTAGCCAGTCATCTGAACCTGTGTCTAAGACCTCCGGATTAGTTAGTGGTGACACCCCATATGTGAACTCTAGCATTTAGAGGCTGCATTCATGGTGAAGAGACGTTAGGGATTGAGAGAATAAGCATGCACATTTTTCTCATCAAATTGTCCTGACCCCACTAGTCGAGAGTGAGCGATTCATTTTCTCATATTCTCTATACTCTTTATCCCGGTGAGGGCCTAGATTGCTCGGTCTTAATTCTGATATCTTGAGCTTTGTGCATGAAGTGACTGTTTTGAATAAGTGGTTGAGTCAAGTCTATGTTGGTTGGTGAACAGAAGGGAACTCTTCCTTTGCTCGACTTTACTGCATTCGAATGTCATCTGTGGTGGTTGTCTAGGTTGTCGTTGGAGTTGCCATGTGTTAATGCTCGAAAGCCAGTATGATCCACGTGTTTTGTGCCGATATGATTTGCCCTAAAGCCTGCTTGATTGAAACGTTTTGAGCTTACCTGGTGTCTGACTTGGTTTGCTTAGGGACAAGCAAACGGTTAAGTGTGGGGGAGTTTGATAACGATGTAATTGCACATGTTTGCACCCTTAGTTCTTATCCATTTGTGGAGCATAGTCGTGTATTTTTGGCCTGTTTTACGCCGGGTTGTGCTACTTTGTCACATTTCAGGTCCCGGACGTCGAAGGAAAGGCTAAGCACTAGTTTCGGGGCATTCAGAAGTCATTTGGTCGAGCTAGGACCAAAACACGGGCAGGAGGCTTGCAAAGCACGGCCGTGTTCCTGGCCCGTGCTTTTACTGCCGAGGCTTCCCCACATTTGTCCTATACAAGCTTAAAACACGGCCGGGACCAATTCAGAGCACGGCCGTGTCCACATCAGAACACGCCCGTGTTTCTCCCAGACCGTGGCCGTGTATTTACCACGTGGCAAAGGGCACGGGCGGGCTGGAGCAGAACACGGCCGTGCCCTCGACCGTGTTTTGTCCAGTGATGCCCTTTTAGGCAGATTTCAGCCAAAAGGAGAAAAAAATCGGATTTTGAGTGCAAAAACAGAGTTTTAGAGAGAGAAAGAGCGAAGAACAAATCCTAGGAGCTATTTGGAGTGAATTTCTCACCATTGAAGCCCAGATTGCGTCCCCAGGAGTGAAGATTGATATCGCAGAGCAGATTTTCCTCATCTTTATGAGTATGACTACTCTGATTTCTGTTTTCCTTTCTCTCTCTATGGAGTAGAACCTTTCTCTCACTTGGGTATGAAGAACCCTAGTTCCTTATGTTAGGGATTTGATTGTAATGACTTGGGATGATTATACTGTTTGGTTTTAATCGAATGATGCATGTTTATTGAATTGATTGAAGTCTGATCAGCTTTTCTTGATTTCTGCTGCAACCTGAGATAGATAGAATCTGATTAGGTTGTTAGAGCCTCTTCATTCGATAGTAGGAGATTGGTTATACGAGAGTTAGCCAGTTTACTGCTTTGTACTGGAATTCAATTCCAGTAGTGGAGTTCTGTGTTCATAGCCTCAGCTTTCTATCCCGGTGAAGACTAGTCGTCTGCCGGGTAGTTAGACTGAGAGGGCTTGGTCAGCTTAAGAGATTCCAAGCTACTGACGGATCTTCCGCAGTCTAACCAACAGTAAATCAACCCAGGGTAATTACAATTGAACCTAACTAAGGAGCTAGGGGGACTCATTCCCGAGTGACTCTTTCCTGCTTTAGAAAACCGAATAATTTCCTGCTTTCTTACTGCTTTTGCGTTAAACAACAATCACTCGACTTAGTTGGCTAGATAATAGATAATCACGGAGTAAGCAGTAGATATAGATTCTAGACCCCGGGTTGATAATAGAACTTGCCTGTTACTGCATTCCCGGACTGCGATTACACTTGGTCGCAGTTTGGTGTTGTGTTTTGGCGTGTCAAGAATTCATTGTCAAATGAATTCTTGTGTTTGGTATGTCATATGTATAAGTTATTTAGTTAATAAAAGAAGGTAACTATGTCATTCTATTATAATTAGTAGACACTTGTGGAATTCATTTGAAAATCCCATCTCAATTCCTCGGAATTGCTATAACTAGTTCCAATTCCATAGAATTCAAAATTTAAAATTGAAAATGAATTCTTTTCAATACCAAACACAAAACTATCTCATTTCAAAATGAATTTCTCAAAACTTATATAATTCATATATACCAAACAATATGTTAATGACATTGTGGTTAAAGCCAAGCCAAATTTGGCTAAGAGAGCAGCGTGGTTTTCTCATTCATTAAGGCCAGGTCGTGTTCGTGTGGCTTAGGGTTGTGGGTTTATGATTGGCTTTAGGAGCGATGGAGTGGCTTATGAACAACTTAGTGTATAATTTGTATACTCTAAGTTGTGGGGTGGCGGAGCCAGGAATCTAAATGAGATGGGGAACCACCTCTCAAAAAATTATAGTTTGGAATCAAGACAGATTTAGTAGTTAGACAACAGGGTATCAAGCCGACATGAAGGGGCTCTTTTTTTTTTTATTATAATCAAAGTGGTAACAATCTCAACACCAAGCCGGCCCTTATGGCTTGATACCAATATAGTTTCTGCTACCCTCTCGTTATGCTTTTCTTTCCAATGTTAGGGTTCTGTTTTTCCCTCCCCTCTTGTTAGCATCGATTTGCTGTTCAGTCAAACTTGTACGAAGCTTACGTTCATATATTGGTGCAAAAATACGAAATTATCCAACACTGGCAATTAATTCCATTACTCGCATACATACTTTCTAGCCATAAGACAGAGAGCATTCTTCTTATGCATGGTAATACCAGGTAAAGCCTCCATGTCCAAATCTTCACTCTTCGTTCCAAGTGGCATTTCCCAATTGAATGCATAAAGCAAATTAGCCAAAGAGAGCTCCACAATCACGAGCCCCATATTGATTCCTGGACACATCCTTCTCCCAGCACCGAACGGTATCATCCCAAAATCCACGCCTTTTAGATCGATGGACTTTTTCCTGAATCGCTCCGGCTTAAACTCCTCTGGGTTCTCACCCCAGACTTCAGGATCTCTTCCGATTGCCCATGCATCGACATAAACCGTAGTTTTCGCAGGTATTTTGTGCCCGTCAAAGTCGCAGTCTTGACTCGATTCCCTTGGAAGCAGCAATGGAGCTGCAGGTTGTAGTCTCATGGTTTCTTTGACCACAGCTTTAAGATAGGGTAGTTGTTCAATATCTTCTTCTTTTACAAAGCGTTTCTTCTCTATAGCTTGTCGTACTTCTTTTTGGGCTTTCCTCAATTTTTTTGGGTTCTTCATTAGGTACGTCATTGCCCATATCACTGTAGCTGCACTTGTCTCTGTTCCTGCTATAAATATGTCCTGCAAGTCAATCAAACCCCAGAAAAGAAAGTGAACATAAACCATATTTCACTATGTTATATATGCATGCACTAAGTAAAAGAAAACTAATTACCATGAGAATTGCTTTTATGTGGTCAAATGTGAGCTGGAATTTGTCGGATTCTTCATTCATGACCCCAAGAAGAACGTCCAAAACGTCCTTATGCTCCGATTCTGCTCTTTTTGGGTTGAGATGTTGATCGATGATATTGTTGAAATGGTAAGTCTGATATTGTCCATATCTCACGACCGCTGCAGGCTGCTCAAAAGGGAAAGTGCGATATCTGCGTATCTGATTGATTTTCCTCTAACGGCTAGTTCTGCTCTTTATAAGCTTGGGATCTTTCTGGTGCAAGAGTACTTTTGTACGGGAAAAAGCTAGAGGTATAGGTCTGAGCTTTGAGTGACAAGAGGGTTGACAGTATAGGGGCAAAGGTTCTATACTGTGGTGGCTGATCTGAATTGGGTAGTGATTCAGGGGTTTTTCATTTTATTGTTTCTCATTATCTCTGCTGTAATTGTGTCTTTTCAATTCATAAAATTAAATAGAGTCTCCTGGGATCTGTGATCCTGGGACGAGGAAGTACCCATTGCACAAGGGCGAACCTCGTTAAAAAGATCGTGTGTTCTTCCTCTTTCTTTACTCTGTTCTTCTCCCTTGCTGCTGAGTTCTTCTGCAAATCGTGTTCTTCAGAGAAGAACTTATCTGTGCTGGGTCAGTGGATTGAGGGCCCAGTTGGGCTTAAGCCCATTCTCGTTTCATTTATCTTTTAAGGCCCTTTTCTGGTTTGAGCCCACCCGAAGGATAAAGACTGAGAGATCGGCTGTTGACCTCTCTAAACTGTGTCTTTAGTCCTTCTTTGCTCGAACCAAAATTCCCAATTCTCTGTTCATCCTTTTCTGTCTAACCCTAACCCGATTTCAATTGGTATCAGAGCTCTGCCTTGACGAAGCTCACTGCTGCCAAGGTATTCGATCCAATGGCGTCAAGTTCGTTCGGGCAAGCTACTCTAAATCATCCACCCATCTTCACCGGGTCAAACTATACGGCCTGGAAGAAGAGGATGAAGCAGTTTTTGTGGGGAGTGGATGAGGAGTTGTGGTTAGTCGTCCAGAATGGTCCGATTCAGATGGAAATGGACGAGCAAATGATGTGGTCAGCAGCCCAGAAGAAAAGCGCTCAGCTTAACCAAAGGGCGATGCATGTTCTTCAGGCGGCAATGAATCCCGACGAGGCTGATCAGGTCGAAAATTGTGAAACAGCCAAAGAGATCTGGGAAGCGTTGGAAAGCACCTATGAAGGTACCTCTAACATCAAAGAATCTCGGATTGATTTACTAATGCATGATTACGAATCGTTTAATATGCTTGAGGGGGAGGGAATACATGAGATGTATTCGCGATTTACTGTTCTTATCAATAAATTGAAAGGTTTAGGTAGAACTTTTCAAAGTAAGGATTTGAACCGGAAAATTCTTAGGTCCTTACCCAAGGACTGGCTTCCTAAACGAACCGCTATCGAAGAAGCTAAGAATTTATCCACCTTGCCTACTAATGAACTGATAGGGTCGTTATTAAGTCATGAACATGTTTTAAGACAGGTTGGGCAAGAAGATGAGAAAAGAAGGAAAAACCTAGCTTTTAAATCTAAAGTTGCTGATTATGATTCAGATAGTGAGAGTGACTTTGATAAGGAATTTGCTCTTGTTAGCAAGAAATTTCATCGCATGCTCCAATACAAGAATCAAAAACATAAGTCACATGACAGTAGGCCTGTTTATTTTGATCATAACAAGAATAATTTTCAAGAAAGGCTGCCTCAACAGCAGACCAGATTTGTTGAGACAGGTCAGCAAGAGAGGGAATCTCAGGCGTGTTACAGATGTGGGAAGTTTGGCCATATTAGAGCTCAATGCCCACAAACTCTAAGAGCCAAAGAGAAGGCCATGAAAGCATCATGGAGTGACTATGATTCAGAGCCAGAAGAAGGTAAATCTGATGAAGAAGCATACATGGCTAGCAAAGGCACAAAATCAGAAGATGAGCATGCATTTCACTCGGATTTAATTGATCATGACGACAAGAAATGGTACTTAGATAGTGGTTGTTCACACCACATGTCTGGTAAGAAAGGCTTATTCTCTTCTCTTAGACCAAATAATGGTGGTAAAGTTTACTTTGGAGATAATGGTCATGGAAATATTGTTGGTTGTGGTACTATAGGAAAGTCTCCTGCCCCTTCTTTTAGAGATGTCTTACTTGTCGAAGGATTGAAGCATAATCTCTTATCCATAAGTCAACTATGTAGTAATGGAAATCAAGTTGCTTTTAAAGCAGACCATTGCATAGTTGAAAGAGTCAGGGATGGGAAAGTTATGTTTGTTGGAAATCGGATCAACAACATGTATGTTATTGATTTAAGTGACATAGGTGCTTTTAATGAAACTTGCTTTGTTGCTTCAAACCATCTGGAAATGTTATGGCACAGAAAGATGGGACATCTTAGTTTAGCTAAACTTGTGGCTTTGTCTAAGTCTGGTTGTGTATCCGTGGCATGCCTTTATTAAAAGAAAAAGCTGATTTCTTTTGTGAAACTTGTGTTTCTGGCAAACATACCAAAAAATCTTTCAAACCCAAACCTGATATTGTTACTACTTGCACATTTGACCTGATCCACATGGATTTGTTTGGTCCCTGCAATGTGACAAGTTTGGGTGGGAAGAACTATGTTTTTGTGCTGGTTGATGATTATTCTAGGCATACCTGGGTTTATTTTCTAGCTCATAAGGATGAAGCCTTGAATAAATTCAAAATCTTTGTCAAACTTTATAGTGGTCAAATCAAAACCATAAAGAGTGACAATGGTGGAGAGTTTATTTCAGAAGAGTTTGAGATTCTTTGCAATGAATCAGGGATAACTCACACCTTTTCAGCCCCTCGAACTCCTCAACAAAATGGAGTTGTCGAGAGGAAAAATAGAACTATCATAGAATGTGCTCGTACTATGCTTCTGGAATTCAATTTGCCTAAACACTTTTGGGCTGAGGCAGTCAGTACAGCATGTTATGTTCTTAATAGAGTTCTTATCCGGAAAGGGATTGGTAAAACACCTTATGAGATTATGAAAAATAAATCTCCTAATCTTTCTTATCTTCATCCGTTTGGTTGTTCTTGTTTCATCCTTAATACAAAGGATCATCTTGGAAAATTTGATGCTAAATCGGACAAGGGCATTTTTTTGGGTTATTCTATAAAAGGTCAAGCTTATCGTGTCTATAATACTCGGACCAAAAAGGTCGAAGAATCAGTACATGTTGTGTTCAATGATACTAACTCAAATCTTGAGACTTCTGATCAGGATATGCCTATATATGATATGCTTGAACTGACCAGAAATGCTAATAGTGAAAGACAGGAGTCAGATCAGCATCCTACTACTGCTGAAGTCACTAAGAACTCAGAAAGGGATTCTCAAGTCGATACTGGTTCTAGCAAACCCTCAGCACCACCTCACATACAAAAACGCCATCCTACTGATCAAGTTATAGGAGATCTCAATGACAAACTAAGAACCAGAGGTAAGTATACTCCTGGACAGTATGCTTTCGTTTCACAATATGAACCTAGAAACTACAAAGAAGCTTTAAAGGATGAAAAATGGGTGCTTGCCATGCAAGAAGAATTAACTCAATTTGAATATCTTCATGTGTGGGATCTGGTCCCTCGTCCTTTAAATCAGTCTGTCATTGGTACTAAATGGATATTTAGAAATAAAACTAATGAAGAGGGTCATATCATTCGTAATAAAGCTCGCTTAGTTGCTCAAGGCTATAGCCAAGAGGAAGGTATTGACTATGATGAAACGTTTGCTCCTGTAGCACGTTTGGAGTCTATTCGTTTGTTATGTGCTTATGCCTGTCATATGAACTTTCCCCTGTTTCAAATGGACGTCAAAAGTGCCTTCTTGAATGGGGAAATTTATGAAGAAGTCTATGTCTCTCAGCCACCTGGCTTTGTTAATCATCTTTATCCTGATCATGTTTTCAAATTAAGAAAGGCTTTATATGGTCTTAAGCAGGCACCTCGGGCCTGGTATGAACGTTTGACTGCCTTTCTTCATGATCAAGGATTTAAACAAGGGTCAGTTGATAAAACCTTGTTCACTAAAAGAGAGGCAAATGATCTTCTTTTAGTTCAGATATACGTGGATGATATTGTGTTTGGATCAACCAACTCAAACCTATGTGCTACTTTCTGTAATTCCATGAAACAGGTTTTTGAAATGAGTATGATGGGAGAGTTGCAATACTTTCTCGGACTTCAAGTCAAACAAACCTCTCTTGGAACTTTTATCTCTCAATCTAAGTACATCTCTAGTATGTTAACTAAGTTTGATCTGCTGTCTTTGAATCCTTCTTCAACCCCTATGGCAACAACTGTCAAATTAGACAAAGATGAGACTGGCTCCTCGGTTGATGAATCTAAGTTCAGGGGTATGATTGGTTCTCTTTTGTACCTTACAGCTAGCCGTCCTGACATACAACAGAGTGTCTGCTTATGTGCTCGATTCCAAGGCAATCCTAAGGAAAGCCATTTAAGTGCTGTTAAACGCATATTTCGATACCTGAAAGGGACTTCTGATGTAGGATTGTGGTATCCCAAAAATGATAATTTTGATCTTGTGGGATATAGCGATTCAGATTTTGCTGGTAGTTTGGTTGATAGACATAGCACTTCAGGCAGTTGCCAATTTGTTGGCGCTTCTCTTGTGTCTTGGTCTTGCAAGAAACAAGCCACGGTTGCTCTGTCAACCGCAGAAGCGGAGTACATTGCTGCTGGTAGCACTTGTACTCAACTTCTTTGGCTTAGAAATCAATTATCTGATTATGGTCTTCATGTCTCTACTATTCCTTTGTTTTGTGACAACACTAGTGCTATTTGTATCTCTAAAAACCCTGTTCATCACTCACGACCTAAACATATAGATGTTAAATATCATTTTATTCGTGAGTTGGTTCAAACTGGGTGCATTGCTCTTCATCATGTTAGTACTGAGTATCAACTTGCAGATTTATTTACCAAACCTTTGAGTACTGATCGATTCACTTACCTTTGTCATGAAATTGGATTGCGATCTGGTCAATCCATCTCAAATTTCTCGGATCAGTAATTGTTTCCTTCCTTTTCTTGTTTTTGGCTTTCTGTTTTTATGTCGTTTCTTTTTCCTGATTGAGTGTCTTACCTTGTCTGTCTTGCTCGTGTTTATTGTTGTGTTTCTTTCCCTTCTTGGTATCTGTTGAGTCTATTTATTTGTGTGTTCTTGTTTCGTTCCCTGCATCCTTTCCTCGAGAGCTTCCTGCCTTAGTATTCGTGAGTCTCCCTCATCATGGTCTACTCTTTTGCTCTCACCTATTCAGGAACTTTTTTTCATGATCCCCTCTATCTGAACTATCATCGCCATTCTCAGTCGTTTGATCAGCGTCCTATTTCACCTGATATCCTTGTTCCTTTCCCTGGTCTTGATGTTCATGGTCTTGAAGTTCGTCACTGGATTCGAAATCTGGGCTGGGAGTTTCTTCTTGAAAACCATCCCGCCTTGATCTGTCCAGAGGCCGTTCGTTATTTCTTCTCAAACCTTCGCTATTTCGGTCTGCAATCCCGCACTATCTCGTCCTTGGTGTATGGTCATCTGATGACCATTCCTGCTGATGATATTGGTCGTCTTCTCGGATTCCCTGCTATTGGAGAAAACCTGGCTCACGAGTCTGAACTTCCTCTTTTCAACTTCAACATTGCTGAGGAGGCAGTTCAGCTGACTGGTCATCTTCCTGACGACGACTCTACCTTGCCAGTGTCGATTCTTCTTCCTGCCATGCGTGTGTTCCACTACTGCATTACCAGAGTTTTTGTTCCTCGTGCCTCAAGGCTTGATCGTGTCTTACCTCTGGATCTTTGGATTATGGCTCATGCTGCTGCCGAGGTTCCCCTCGATTACTCTCACCTGTTCTTTGGGGCTATTCTTCCTTTCATTGATCATACTCACCCCGACCCTTTGCCGTTTGGAACCTTGATCACTCGTTTGCTGCTGTCTCTTCCTCTCAACCTCAATGCTTATCGGTTTGAGTCTCCTACTCACTGGTTGACTGTGGATATGATTCTTGATGCTCTGGATATTGCGATTGAGGGAGAGGTGAACCTGATCTGGATTAGCGACTCTGACTCTGATTCTGAAGTTTCGTCTGAAGTGGGTGATAATGGTGTAGCTCCTGTTGTTGATGCTCCTGGTGTTTCTTCTGAGTCGTTTGCTGCTGCTCTTCAGGAGCTTTATGGATCTGACTCTGACGTTCCTAGTAGCTCTAGCTCTGGTTAATTTAGTAGGTGGTCTGTCAACTGAGATCTTCGTTTGTGTGTTGGTTTGTCTCAGGGAGAGCTGTTTTGTTTTGGTACTGCTTGTGTGTTGGTTTGTCTCAGGGAGAGCTGTTCTGTTTTGGTACTGCTGTTTGTTTGCTCTCAGGGAGAGTTGTTTTATCTTATGTTTGGTGGATTAAGACTGGCTCTGCTGTTTCCTTCTATCTATCTGCTTTGTGCCTTGGTTGCTGCTTTCTGATTGTTTTTGCAGGTTCTCAAGCAATCGACAATATCAGACTTAGGGAGAGATTGTTGAAATGGTAAGTCTGATATTGTCCATATCTCACGACCGCTGCAGGCTGCTCAAAAGGGAAAGTGCGATATCTGCGTATCTGATTGATTTTCCTCTAACGGCTAGTTCTGCTCTTTATAAGCTTGGGATCTTTCTGGTGCAAGAGTACTTTTGTACGGGAAAAAGCTAGAGGTATAGGTCTGAGCTTTGAGTGACAAGAGGGTTGACAGTATAGGGGCAAAGGTTCTATACTGTGGTGGCTGATCTGAATTGGGTAGTGATTCAGGGGTTTTTCATTTTATTGTTTCTCATTATCTCTGCTGTAATTGTGTCTTTTCAATTCATAAAATTAAATAGAGTCTCCTGGGATCTGTGATCCTGGGACGAGGAAGTACCCATTGCACAAGGGCGAACCTCGTTAAAAAGATCGTGTGTTCTTCCTCTTTCTTTACTCTGTTCTTCTCCCTTGCTGCTGAGTTCTTCTGCAAATCGTGTTCTTCAGAGAAGAACTTATCTGTGCTGGGTCAGTGGATTGAGGGCCCAATTGGGCTTAAGCCCATTCTCGTTTCATTTATCTTTTAAGGCCCTTTTCTGGTTTGAGCCCACCCGAAGGATAAAGACTGAGAGATCGGCTGTTGACCTCTCTAAACTGTGTCTTTAGTCCTTCTTTGCTCGAACCAAAATTCCCAATTCTCTGTTCATCCTTTTCTGTCTAACCCTAACCCGATTTCAGATATCTTGGTAGAAAGTGTCCAGTTCCTTACAGTTCTTCTCGAGCCGGCTCATCATACCTGTAAATCTATCGAGAAATCCCAAAGATGGAAAATGGTCCGAGAAAAAGAAGCTAGTAAACATGGCCTCGGATTCTCTAAGCATCAACTCAAGTTTGCTCCTCAGATCAACTCCATGATTTCCCTCCAAACTCGTGCCGAAAGCGGTCCGACAAATAATTCTACTTGTCACGGACAACATGGCTTCGGACAAGTCCAAAGGGTTGGAACCATGTGAAGATCTGGATATCCTCTCAGTCATCTGAGAAACCTCGCCCTCTCTAACCGGAGAGAAGCTCTGAACCCTGTTCGAATTGAAGAGGTGGACGACACATATCTTCCTGATCTCCCTCCAGTAAGCACTATAGGGACCAAATGATATGTCTCGACGGTCGTAGGAGAGATGGTTCGGGCCAGTAAGAGACGGTCTGCTGCAAAACACAAGGTCCTGAGTTTTCATGACTTCCTCGGCCATTCTGGCCGAGGAAACCACGAGAACTCGAGTGCAGCCCAGTTTCAACGACATCAAGGTTCCATATACCCGAGAGAGCCGCCACAACGAGCGATGAGGAGCCGAGGAATCGATATCGAACAAGTTGCCTATCAGCGGGAGACCTGGAGGGCCAGGTGGGAGGCGATGAGAACCTTGGGTTTGCCTGTGCTTACGATGAAGCAACAGGAGGAGAACAATGATGGGGAGAGCTAGGATAAGGTAGAGAAGTTGTGATGCCATTGTTTGTTTCGAGGAAGTGTCCATGCATTATTGATATGTATTTATAACCCTCAATTCACAGAGATGGTATCTATGCTATATATATACACAAATGACGTCAAATAAGCAGTAGAATTTTTCACATAACAATAGCTTCTGGACGTCAGCATCGAGCCAAGACATGATCAGCATCTTCATCATGGCGATCGTATCCATACTTGCCTTCTTTTACACCATTTTAGATAGATAGATAGATAGATAGATAGATAGATAGGAGACAGGAAGTGGGCCGTGAACAGTCAATGCTACTTGTGCAAAATGGGCTGTAAATGTCCAAAGCCACTCGTGGAAAGTGGGCTGTGAACATCCAAAGCCACTTGTGCAAAAGAGCTACGTGACAGCACCAGCAGAAGGAAAATGGACAGAGAAGAAAACGAGAAAGGACATTTTCTTCAAAAAGGTTTTGGAACTATCGAGAGAGAAAAAAAAAAAAAAGAGGTTTTGGAAGTTAATGTAAGAGTCTTATTCCATCAAAATGGTTAGCGGTATAATCGATAACATGCGATTAACAGCCTGTTTGGATTGACAAAAAAGTAAGGAATTGGAATTTCATTTCCAATTCCATTTCCATATATTATGTTTGGAATAATAAAAAGGTTGAGAATTGAATTCCAATTGGTCTAAAATATGGGAATTACAATTCCTATCATAACTGATAGGAATTGAGAGAATGAATATGGAATTAGTGGGACCCATTAATACTTTTTATTATTTTGTTGACCCACTATCATTTTACTCTCTTTCTCTCTCATTCATATTTCATTTCCCAAAATAAAACAAACATTATTCATTATGGTTAAACTTGCAATTCATTTCCATAGTTGTAGGAATTATACCAAACACTAGAATTGAAAATGGAATTCTATAAAAATAAAAAATTGAATTCCATTTACATTTCCATTTCTTCCGGAATTGTATCCAAACAGGCTGTAACAGTACATCCGGTGCAAGTCAAAATCGTAATTCTAGACAAATGTGTTGTGGTGATTTATAAGCGTAAAAATGTAAGTTTTGAACTTCAAATAGTAAATTTTGACTACACTCATAAGTGAAAAGTGTGTAAAAATATAAGTTTTAAACCTTCAAAGCGCGATTTTGATCACATTGAGTGCACCCATAGTCGGATAATTTGACTGAATTATCATGATTCATGGTATTGGGCCGGATTCGAATGGACACAAATACAATTTCAATAATTTTGGATGGGTTGAGTTTGAACTCGGTTCAATTTGGATAAACCCATTTGGGTGAGACCCAAATGAAACTATATTTGAGTCAAGATAATATCAACTATCTCACTAACTACATTCAACCCAATTACACTTTAAAACAGTTATTATTGTGGCACTGAATTAGTAACAATGGGTTAATTGCATGGATGGTCACTGGGTTTACTAAAACCGTTCATGTTTGGTCACTGCAAATATTTAATTCCATTCATGGTCACTAAGATTAGTTCAATAGTTCAAGTTTGGTCACTCTCCGTTAGTCTCCGTTAGTTTTTGCTGATGTGGCAGTCAACTATTATAGTTGACCGTTAAATGCGTGACGTGGCAATTAAAAAAAAATTAATATTTTAAAAAAAATAAAAAATACAACTTACCTCCTGAAAAGTACACGGGAAAAACCAAACCATCAACAAGAAAGCCATTCTTGGTCCAAAAAAAAAAAAAAAAAACAAGAAAGCCATCCCGCCGGCCGCAAGAACCAATCCAGAGAACACTCATTGCTCAAACTCACCATGGCTTTCGTCGCGACCTCTTCTTCCACCACCGCAATTTCGGCTTCGAATCTCGCTCTCTCTACTGCTTCTTCCTCCGAGCCCAAAGGTACGTTTGTGATTCCATTTACACTCTAATTTCTGGCTGATACCGTCGTATTTGCTCCCGTCGATTGTCTGATTGAGTTTGCGTTTATCCCTCCACCGCCGTATTCGGCTCGTTCCGATTGTTGGATCATCCCTCCACCGCCCCCGCCGTCAACCTAACTTCTTCTCGTAAGCGCTCCTCCGCTGTAAGGCCGGTGAATGCTGAGCCGAAGCGTAACGATGGAATCGTTCCTCTCTCCACCGCCGTCGCCCCGGCCCTGACCGCTTCCTCTACTCTCTCGACATCTCCGCCGCCGCGCCCCGCTACGTCCGCTCCCTCCTCCGCCACATTTCCCCCGCTCTGCTCCCGGCCAACTCCTTCCGCGGCCGGGGCAATTCCTACATCGACACTTCCTCCCCGGGCACCGCCTCTTGATAATCGGCGGCTGCTGCTCCCCGCTCATCCTCAGAAACGGCACCGTCGTGGACCAGTCGGTGTTGTCCGTGGACGGCGTCCGCGTCTCGGATCCGGATATTTACGTTGGGTCGACCGTCGCCGCGCACGGACTAGCCGGGATTCTCGGCGAATCGGACGAAGATGACCTGAATTTCGAGGAGCTTGATGACGGGGAAGGTTATGGCGCCAATGGATTCTTCTGGTATCCGAGCTCTGCTTGGCCGTCGGCGTAGATGGTGGAGAGAAATCGAAGGAGGGGGAGAGAAACCTAAAGGAGGGGGAGAGAAATCGGAGGGATCAGAATCGCGTAGATGGCGAGGTAATTTTTATTTTTATTTTTTAATAGTTGTAAAATGAGGTGGAAATTGTAAATATTTAAATTTTTTATTTTTTATTTTTTTATTGGCCACGTCACGGTCAACTATAATAGTTGACTGCCACATCAGCAAAAACTAACGGAGACTAACGGAGAGTGACCAAACTTGAACTATTGAACTAATCTTAGTGACTGATAGACCGATAATTGCACATGTTTTCACCCCTATTCTGAAGCCGTTTGTGATGTGGAATCTCGTGTTTTAAGCCGATTTCACGCTAGGTTGTGTGTTTATGTCATATTTCAGGACCCGGCGTTGGAATCGAGGCGGAGAAACGAGTTCTGGGTCGAAAGGAGCCGAGTTGGGACTAAGGGGGCTGCAGGAGGAAAATACCCGGTCGGTTGGCAAAATACCCGACCGGGTATTTATCGTTTTTGGCACCCGTGAGAAGCAGAAGGGGGCCCGGGCGATGGCCTTAAATCCCCGGTCGGGGATTTTGGTGGTAGACCGGGGATTTTCCCTGAGGACGAAACGGTGCGCTTCAATTATACCCGGTCGAGACCCAAAATACCCGACCGGGTATTTCGACCGGGTATCGCGAGGGCAGCTGATAAAAGCCGGTTTTGTGCGTTTTTGCAAGGGAGAGCTGGGTTTTGGATCCCAAACACCCAAGGGACGAACCAAAGAAAGAGAGGGCGATTTGAGGGCATTCTCGGAGTGGAATTGGAGGATTTCTTCGCCTTGGAAGCTCGAGGAACAAGCCCGGACTTGAAGACTGATCATCTGAAGATTCTTACTGCAGTCTCTCTCTTCTCTATGGAGTAACTTCCCTTCACTTAGGTTTTGAGGAACCCTAGCTATGTCTGTTTGATTGGATGATTGTATGAGTACTTTGACTTGATAATCTTGAGTTCATATTCAATCTATGCATGTTTTCATGATTCAATTCTGCTTTAGTCGAGATTATTGATTCTGCTTTGATCCTATGAGAGCGAATACCTGATTAGGTCAATAGAGCACCATAGATTGATAGTAGTGGATCAATTGCTTTAGTCGAGGGTTGATTCACTGCTTTGTATCGATTGAGAACCTCATTCGATAGAGGGAGTCTAGTTCAGAACGCCTTGATCGATTGTTCTAGAGAAGGATACGTCCCTCTAGGCAATTGACTCAAGAGGGCCTTGTTCCTTTAGTCGAGACTCAAGGTCTAGTCAAGGATTCTCCGCATTGTGAATGAAAGTGAAACAAGTTAGAGATCATCAATCGTTAATCTGGCTAGTGGCTAGGGGGAATCATACCTAAGTGAGTTCCCAACCTGTAATTGGATTAACTTTAATTGTAGTTTGCTAGAGTAGTTTTAGTTCTTTCATCTTAATCTGGTTTGCTAGATAATGAACCGAAGCTGAGTAATAGTAACTCTAGAGACCCGTGGATTCGATATTTATTACTTGAGCCACTATACTGCAGTCCCTTTCATTGGTTACACTTGGCCATTGTTAGGAGTTGTGTCATAGCGAGTCAAGTTTTTGGCGCCGTTGCCGGGGACTTTCTAGAGTATTAGGAAAGGCAGAAGTTTGTTACTTTAGCGTTTTTCTTTTCTTTTCCACCCTTGCTTTTCACTTGGGTGTTTTTGTTTCTGTTGGTGCAGATTTGAATCATGGATCCTCATGGCTTCTCCAATCATTGGGGGTATCCACCACCATCGGAGTGGTATTACCCCGAGACTCCCTGGAGCAATCAAGGAGGAGAAGACTATGGATTCGGGTTCCAGTACCAACCCCCTTACTACGGAGAACTACCGGACCCCTGGGCATATCAAGAACAACCTTATTACCAAGAAGAATTTCTCCCACAACCAGAAGGGCCATCGGCGCTGGAGTTACCCATGGCGGCCTTCACGGGCCATTCTGCAGAGCCATGCTACACTCCACAGCCAGATCCAAACTATGAATTGAGGCTTCTCATGGAGCAGTTTGCTCGAGATAGTGAGAGATCATGTGTCAGGATGGATCTTTGTACCCAGGCCTTTCGTGAAACAGAGGAGATCCTCCTGAGCCTTAAGAAGAGCGTCGATGATCTTGAGCGATCTTGTGCACAACCTGCTCCAGATCACCCTTCTGCTACCATACTAGAAGAGGAGGAGGAAGAAGAAGGCTACAAGGACATTGTGGAGCAAACAGAGATTATCACGGAGAGCTCCCGTGAAGATCATGATCAAGAATGTCCTGTCATAGCCGACCACACCTTCCCACATCCCACACTGAGCTTTGAAGAGGCAAGCATGAGTGAGGAGATGCAAGAAGATCTCATGAAAGAAATTGCCTGGCAACTTGCTCTCCAATCCGTGCTAGAAGAAGAAGAGCAAGAAAGGGTGCAGAAA